TGTTCGCGTTCTCGCAGGGATCACTACGGTTTCGGCGTGCGAAAAGGGAATAGAGATCCCCTGCCATACAACGGATTGGCCACGGAAATCTATCTGATCCGCGTCTTTTAAGAATTCGGAAACCAGTATCCCGTCCTGGGTGATAGGGAAATTATTGTCCACTACGTGGAACTTAATATTATTTCCCATGCACTTAATTATTGTTGACCCGAGCGTTTTCAACGTACCATCTAGCGTAAACCGATCGCACTTATACAACGCGAGATACACATTACTAAAGCCATCTATTGGAAAAATAATGGATTTCTTTTTACTACACCTTATATAAGCAAGGAAAGAAAAATAATATTAAATTGTATAATATATTCTACACACACGCACATGCACCACAAACACATAAACACTTCATTTTGTTAAGGATCACCAGTCAATTCACTTACATTCTGCACTGCCGTAGTTTGTATTATCAAAGCACTTTATCACTAATTAAACTAATAGCTCTTTTTAAAGTATTAATATCGAGTTCTTCACAATTTTAGATCCATCGTGTTACCCACGTCTTAGAGATTTTGGTCTTCGAATTTTCTCCATGTCTGGATCTACATATTTATGTGAATGCTCTTTTTCGAAAATGAATTTTACAAAGACAGCCACACGTTCTTCTTTGAACGATGCATCACTGTCTTCGTTGATGCGAGCTAGTTCTTCCAAAATTTCTGTGGATATACCATCTTTAGTACAATCGTGTAAACGATCTAGGAAACATTAAAATTGGCTGATTTTTTTTCTTCTATGATTAGAATTTTTTTTCTTCCATATATATCTTATAATATAGAATTTCGCTTTTCTGCTGAGTCATGTCATTAATTTTAATTTATTTCTAGTGGAATAGGCTTACAGGAGAAACCACTTTAAAAAAAACGCATCAACAATAGTATCTCATGGGTGATGTGGAAATCTATTATCAAAATTACAAGACAGATACACACACACACGCATTATATTCGATATAAAATTATATATGTGTGTGTGTGGGTGTGTATCTACAATATATTACATATAAATAATGTAATATTATATTATTTACAAAAAAATATATATATTGAAGAAGTAAAAATTTTAATAACGAATTGGCGCACAGAAGTGCTACATACGTATTTCTTACTCAACAACGCTCCTGAGGCAAAGCAATCGGCGGCTCGGCCGCTGAGGCTCGAGTGAGAGTGGGGCAGCGGTGGGCGTCGCGTCTGAAATCAGCCCGAAATGTGACAAAAATTCCGAGGTCTGGTATACGTATAAGCCATCGCTCGAATTCGACATCAAGGAAGAGGTTATATGCACGCGAATGTTCGATAAATGATCGATGTGTTACCGTGTCGCAGTTGATATTTGTTCTCACGTAGTCGTCGTGTCTTCTGGGCCCATAACCTGTTGTAAGGCGAGTGGAGAGATTGACGACCGAGAAATGAAACGGATGTTAAGCCGAATGAAACTCTGCTTTTATTAGAGAGTAT